GAACAAGCAGTTCTGCTGTGCTCTCACTTCGATAGACCTTAGCTGGAATTCTGCCTGTGGTTCAGGAACTGCATTTGAAAAAACAAACAAACAAACAACACATTGACATACTTTTAGGAGGCACAAGGGAAGAAGAGGGGCCAGTGTGATAAAAAAGATTTGGAAATTATTATATGAGAGAAAGTCCTGGATAAACTGGAATGGTTTAGAATGAACAAGGTTAAGCCAGCTGGAAAGTTTAGATAGGATAGGCAATTAATGACTTTTTTAATTAAACGTATTTTAACCATTTGCAAAACAACCAAGTATGTAACTCTAGAATCAAGATGACACGAAAAGGTGAACAGTGCTTCTATTTCTAGTCATACTCTTCTCTTCTCCATCGTGCTTAGTGATGACTCTTTTGGATCCTTCTAATGTTCCTTCGGACAATTAAAAGCAAACACAGATATGTAAAATAAACCATTTTGTATATGCTGTTTCTTTTTTATAGATAACATATTATCCTAACCTACCTATTTGCACTTATTCATGTCTTTATTTTTCTTTATCACATGCAGTTCGAAATGCTTCTGTTTGTAGAACACAGCACCTTGTTTGTTTAGAATAGTTGCATGCTCTTCCATCCCCTGAAAGCATAAGAGTTTGCTGAAGTCGTCTTACAGATACATGCTTAAGATATTGCTCATATTCTGCTTTTACAATGCCCTCACTCAGCAAAAACAGTAATATGAATAACAATATCTGTTTGTCATTACAGATGATTATGAACTTATCTGCGGTATAATTTCTCAAGACTAGGACTCCTGGGTTAAGCTTAATGTGCATTTTTAATTTAGAAAGATATTGCCTAATTGTTTTCTGCAAGGGTGGTCCTGCATTGCAAGATCAGTGCCAGAGAACAAGTATTTCCATAGCCTCGCCACCCAGTGGGTGTTCAATCTGTTGGATTCTTGCCCATTTGTTATGTAGGAAGTGGCCTTTCAATAAGTGTTGCTTTTCATACATTTCATTGTGAAAAAGTTTTCACATATTTCTCCTATGAGTTTCTGTTCACAGCCTTTGCGATTTCCCAATGGATCAAGCCAATGTCTCAGCAATTCCCTCTTGAAATTCATCTCTGCAAGCGGCTCTTGTGAATCAAGACCTGTGACAGTTTACCTGTGGGCCCTTCTTCCTGGCCAAAGTGCTATAGGATGTGAGGATGTGGGGGAATTCACAAGTGCCGGAAAGTTCATGCTTGGTATCTTCTCTCACTCCATGACAGGTTTGATGGATGAAAACCAGTTTTCTTTCCTGTTAATGGGGATAACTCTGAGTTACATTTGACGCTGTCTTTCAGAGTTTCCCACCAGAACAGAACTTAAAAATTCACATTCGTTCCTTTGCTCATCTGTGTACTTTGCTTTCCCGGTATTTAGTGATTTCACTTCTAGGATAAAGTATTTGCCCCAGAATCCTTGCGGCAGGATCAGTTTCTGAAGGAACTAAATCAAACTAGGTGGTTTCATTCATCTCCGGATGCTATTCAACATCTGGCCTGCAGATGGCGCTGTTTTGTGAAGTACTTGCTGCCAAAGTTTTATGAAAGTTTGATGTTGCTACCATATTCAAGTGTGAGATTTTTGTATTTTATCTATACACACAGTGATCTGTGATGAGCTGGAAAAATAATATTGGTACTTTTCTCTTTAAGCAATAACACTATAGAGAATGAATAGAAGTGCAATTAGAAAACATTTTGATTATATGCAAGTAAGAACTTCCTAATTGCTCCCAGTGGTTAAAACTGACCAAAAGACTTCCTCCCGGTAGAGGTCAATGCTCTGTTATTAAAAGCCTGTACGGTAAGAAGGCTGGGTATGAGAGACTGGACGATAGCTGTGTTGGTGGCTCGCATCTTTACAGATTCTGCTATTCGGCTCTAATGAAATGAGGACAGGACCGCTCTCTGGTTATGCTGCTTAAAAAAACTTCAGCCTTGCCGGGCGCTGGTGGCTCACGCCTGTAATCCTAGCTACTCAGGAGGCTGAGATCTGAGGATCGTGGTTCAAAGCCAGCCCAGGCAGGCGAGACTGTGAGACTCCTATCTCCAATAAACCACCAGAAAACTGGAAGTGGCGCTGTAGCTCAAGTGGTAGAGCACTCGCCTTGAGCTGAAGAGCTGAGGGACAGCGCCCAGGCCCAGAGTTCAAGCCCCACAACCGACCAAAAAAAAAAAAAAACTTCAGCCTCTAAAAATCACAGGGAAGAGCTTGATTCTAGTTGGTCACATCCTGATAGGTGGTGTTGTACTGCAAGTTCCAGTCGAATGGTTTTTATGAAATTTTCTGCATGAGTCACTAAATCTCAAGAACAAATAGGCGCCTTCAGCACACAAAGCACAAAGGCATAAGCCAAGCAAAAGGAAACATTGTTCTCAGGGAGAGAAGTTAGATGCTTCTCACCTGTACCTGTCCGTCCACCGGGCAAGACTCTCTTTAGGGTTCAAGATGACTTGTGGCCAAATCAGAGTCAGAAGAGTGAAATGATAGTGGCAGTGGTGTTGAACCCAATGTAGGACCTGCAGGTTCCACATTACCTTGAATAACCTTGTAGGCTGTATTGAAATCAGCTTAAACAAACCGTTGTTATGTTTGGACAAGGTAATCAAGATGTATTTAAAATGCAAACAGCTTTGTGTTTTTAAAAATGTTTCAGGCTTTGTCAATAGTTTGCTTTATGTACCCCAAGTTTTGGATTGTAAAGGAAATTTGAGAATGTCTGATGGTGTTGAGAGAAGACGGCCTAGAGTCAGAGTGGTTGGATTCAAACCCCAGCTCAGCTTCCTACTAGCTGTATGAACTGAGCCCTGGTGCTACGTATTTAAGACTCAGTTTCTTTCTCTAACCATGTAGCAATAGCAATAAAGAGCTCTTTTGTACATGGAATATGCTAACATACCATGTTAGCACAGGATATACCCATTATACTATGTAGAAAACATCTTCAAAACCCTTCTGAAATCATACTGCAGCAGGGAGAGGTAAGGACTAGGTGCTTTTTGTGTTGGCTGGGCTAGGGCTAGGGTATCTTCCTTCGCCCCTCCACATTTCCTTTTTCTCTTGCCTTGGTACCTTTACCCTTGATTCTTTTCCTTCCTCATTTGAGTCTTACTTGGCAACACAAGCTTTTTCTGTTTATTTCTTTGTTTGTTGTACAAGGGAATTTCATTCTGACACACCCATATATGCATACAGTATAGCTTGATTAGACTTACTCCTCTATCCTTCTCCCTCCTCTCCTTCCCTCTTCCCAAACCAATCTCAACAAGGCTTGGGTTTTGCCTTGAGCTGGAGGAAACATCATATAAGAGTAACAATTCTTTTCAGCTAAATTCTACTAAACAAAGTTTTAGAGGAGTGGAAGGTTTTTCTAGACTGTAATCTTTATTATAGAAAATGGGAGTTGGGATCCTGTAAGGATGTTTGTGGGCTCTTCCGGTGTGTGTGTGTGTGTGTGTGTGTGTGTGTGTGTGTGTGTGTACGCATGGATGCTCGTGTGTATGTGCATGTGCACCTGCATTGGTTATGTGCTGGTGGGGTGTGGGTCATGGTAAGAGAGAAGGAAAACTGTGATCACTCTGTGGAACACTTTGACTGCCAGGCACCCTAACTTTGTGAGGAGTTCTGCATCGTACATGCTCATCATCATAGTTCCATTGTGATCCCCAAACAATAAATGTAGGAAGGGCTCTTGAGTGTCTTTCTAATCGAAGTAGTTTTGAGTAGACTTTTTGATTTCCTCCTAGTTAGTTGCTGAAAAGAAAATACTGTTTCTTTCTTTTATAGTTTTGTTTTTGAAAGAATGATATCACCCATTAAGGCTGTGGCTGTCTAGTTGAACAGGGAATTTAATAACAGGTCACACAGTCTCAATGCAACCTGACATCCACTTGACGGCTATTAGCCCTGTTCTAGTGGATGTGCCTGCAGAAGGAAAGCATCTTTTTCTAATTCTTACAGAAGCCAAAGGTGGGATAGTCTTTTCCCTCTATTTAGCCAGTGGATCCCTCTCTCTGAGGGTAATACTGAAACATCCACAGCACATTCCAAGGCACCATATATCTGAGCTCAAGCCTATATTGCACAAAGCTATAAATTCATGTAGTTGCTTCAAACACACATATTGCATCTCATTTTTAATTTTTAGTTTTTTTCCCTTGATTCTTGGAGAGTGCTGTTTTTAGTCCCTAAAGTTGGATTTACTGTGATTCAAAACCTTTCAGTCAATTTCTTTGGAAAGCTGATGAGTCAAGACCAGAATTAACAAAGCTAAAAAATATTTCAAAAGTAACATTTAATGAGTGTACATTTACCATAGCTGTTATCCCTTAACATGGGGAAAGGATACAAAAATAAATGGTCTATGAACTTAGTAGAAAATTTTCAGGATACAGGAAATAGAGCAGCAGTCAAGGAAAGCAGTCTCTTATTAATGTCAAAAAGTCTGCATCTGTTAAAAGGAGGAGTTTATGCAAGCACCTATCACATTGGCTGTAAACCCGTTGTGTCCACTGTCTAAGTTAGCTGAAGGAATCAGCTTTATTAAGGTGGTTAATTTGGGTTCATGAATTTGGGGCAGATGGAGGGATGAGGTTGAGAGGGATTGGACAATGCTGGTTTTCTGTGGCCAGCCACTATGGCTTGGGGACAAAGGTCATGTCTGTTAATGTAGCTGTTATGCCCCAAACACTAGAGCTTTTTAAAAAGTAGAGTTCATTTTTACTTTAGGCAAGTGCTTTATCTAGATGTGGTTTTTCTTATTTTTTTAGTGATGGATCAAACTATTACTGACAAGGAAGTGTGATTAATCCTAAAGCCCTCTTTAGTCTAGCCTTGAGGGTAGAGAAGCTTTAATCAAACAACTCTCTAGCCAGTTAGGCAACATTGAGCTGTTTCACATAACAAGAATAAGCAATGACATTTTTCTCTCTTCACCACTGATGCTCCTGGGTCAATCTCATATCTCTTAGTATTCCAAGTCTTCCAGCTTCTTGCAGACTTGCTTGAGCTGATCAAAGATACATTAGAGGACCGTATATTCTGTGCACTTATGCAGTTATTTTTTAAAAAATAATAGAACTTCAAATCTATGATGAAACAAATACCCTCATCCAATAAAAATGGTATCGATGAGGCCACTCTAGAATTAGTTGACCGAACACAGTAAATCGCATATATAAAAAATTTATTAGTACAAAGATAGTATATTTGTTTTAGTAAAAAAATGGCTATTTCCTACATGTTCAATTAAGGCAGAAGTTAAATGCTGATTTGATGTAATGTTATGCAGCCATTAAATACATGTGTATATCATGTATAAGTTAGAGTGTAAAGCTTTCAATAAATAAAGACTAAAAGAGAAGTTAAATAGAATAGAACTATATGGATATAGCTATCTTCAAAAAGTTGTATAGAAAAATAAGGTGGATTGTGGGTGATGTTCTCACATATTTTAATCACTTGGTATAATGTCATATGTAATATGTGATACCAAAAGTAAAAAAAAAAAAAAAAGAGAAAATAAGAAACTATAAATGGCCTTTGTAGATTAGGCAGAAAAATGTCAGATCCAATGCTTTTTAGTTATTTCAGTGATATGTGGGAAGACTGTGCTTCAGTCTCCTTTTAGCTCCAAGGTTGTGCTAGGATGGCTAATCCTGTTGAAGGTCACCTTGGAAAGGGACCTTCAGCAAATCGTTAAATCCATTTACATTCCACCAAGAATTGGAAAACAAAGTGGATCTACTGCTCTCACATCTCTGATCTCCCACAGTTCTTGCTCATCTCTGCACTGTTCAAATTCACACCACATAATTCATCTAATTTGACTGCTTAAAAATTATAACAGACTAGAAATTAAAATTCATAAATGACCAATATTGAGCGATATTCAGAATATATATATAATTTATAAAATCTACCATAATATCCTCATGATGCTAGACATAATATAATGAAACTTTATAGTATTTATTTCTTAACTAAAATTCTAGCTTGCGAGTTTTTTTATGTGCAAGAGCATCTATTAACCCTTCTTTGCTTACACATTAAAAAATCCAAATGAATATATTTCTATTCTTTTTCAATTTTTCCTCTACCTACTTTTTGTAGAGGAAGACTTACTACAACTGCAGTTTTGTGTATACTCAAGGCATGGCTGCTTCCGATTGGATGGTGATCATTTTGTTGTGTCATAAAATAGTCTGATTCATAGGGGATATGGGGTGAGGGGGGATATAGTTCAGTGATCGTTTGCCTACCATGCATGAAGCCCTGGGTTTGCGTTTGAGCTTTAGAAGAAGCAAGCAAGCAAGAGAAACATCCCACCACCACCACCACCACCAAATCTGTTAACAAACAAAGTAGAATAAAATCACTATGGCAATATTTATGATCACTGTTATTTTTGGAAAAGAAAGATAGAAACAAATTACATTCTTTGTGCTTCATTTAGGCTGCTTCTTCAGACACACGCCTATAGCAAAACCTTCATCACTGTTTTCTCTTTCACTTATCTCTGCCTTGGACGTATAGAAGGGAGATACACTTTTTTTTCTTCTTCTGGAGTTTGTAAGATCTAACATTGTTCATGCTGCCGACACTCAGACACTCAAGAAACTTCTTAATGTGGAACCACTATGCTAATCTCAATCTCGGCTTCATGCCTCCAGACCTGGTCTGATTCATCACAAACCTGAAATAAAGTAAGTGTTGCTTCTCAACACATCAGGTTCTCCACATCAGGCAACATTTCCTAACACCTCAGAGCATGGTGAGGGAAAAAGCTCAACTTTGCTTTAAATGTCGGATCTTCCATTCAGTGCTGATTTTGAGTATTTGTAGTTTCTTTCCCAGCCTTGGCGGATCCGAGTAAGGGTCTTATCTATGCATGGCATGATGAGTATAAACTTGATAACCAGCACTGTGCAAGGGATGATGAGAGCTAACACGTAGGCTGAAGGAAGACCCCATCTCAGACTTGAAGGGCTCAGGAATCTCTTCCCGCCATACACCAGAGTATGGGCTGTGCATAAGATCAGGGTCAAATAACCCAGTTTGGACTATAAACAAGAAAGAAAAAAATAGGTACATTAACATTACTTATATCTTAAATTTCAAGCCAATAAAGTGTATTTGTGAACAACCACAAAGTTTGAAACCTATAATATTTACGATGCTGCCATGGGGAGTAAAATGTATTAATCTTTCTTCAAGATACTATTTTTTTCACTAAAAAAAATCAATGATGGTGACAAATGAGTTGGTAGTTATCCTTAACCTGGATGAGTGGAAAAGTTTTCTTAGAATGATAATAATGCCCCTTGCCTTAGTCTCCAGTGGTAAAACTCTCTTACCTATCATCTTTTATTGCTCAAATTCTAAAACTCAGGGTTTTTTTTTTCCCTGTCTTACTTTGACTAAAGGTGTTATCATAAAAAGCTTTGGGCTGTAATCTGATCTCTGGGAGGAATTGTAAGACTTGATAATCCATTCCAATGTCCACTACTAATGGTCTTAACAATGGTTCACAATGAGCAAGCATTTGACTCATCTAGAGACCTGGTAACTCTCTGGACCATGTCTTCAGGGTGTCTGATTCAGTGGGTCTAGGTGTGGTTTGGTGCTTTATGTATTTATCTTTGTGCTGCTGCTACTGGTTCTGGGGCCATATTTTGAGGACAATTTGTCTCCAGGAGTAGTCATTAATTGCTGTGAATGCAGTGTGTGAGTGGCTGATATACAAAAAACAAAAAACCAATTTGCTTCTTACAGACCAAGAATCTCTAGAATGATTCTATCAAATCTTACTTGGATGGTTTTAAATTTCATTGCAGTATCTGCCTTTTCCTATCAATATGTTCCTATTGTCTGGTTCACTTTCTGAAGGTACAAATTTGTCTTTAGATTTCTTTTCACTTTCTACCTAGTCCATTGCCATGCCTACTTTCCTAACTATTGGTGCTTTTCAGTTGTCTGAGCTGTGGCACTGGGAGCATTCAGTAATACTGGCAAGGTGTCCTCATTTGAAAACCGAACTACATGGAACTTGCCAGCTTGTACCTTAGATAGATGTTTTCTAACGTGAGTGTTTAAAAAATTTTATATTATTGTAAAGATGCTGTACAGAGGGGTTACAGTTACATGAGTAAGGCAATGAGTACATTTCTTGTCAAACATTAATATGAGTTTTAAATGAGAGAGTTGGAGAAGTGTTGGAGCAAAATGAAACATAAACATGATAGGAGAGAAAAAAATGAGAATGGTTGCAACGTTATGTTCATTTTGCAGTATAAAGAAGTTTCAATGACGAAGTTCTCACCTGGACGAATCGGAACTCCCTCCAGTTGACTGTGTTGCTAACTGATGGCAAGGAAGTGATGCCCAAGAGAACAAACAGGAAAAATCCCAGGATTCCCAGAGACACATAGGAGTCGCTCAGCCAGGCTGAGGAGGCACTGAATGGATTCTCTTTCTTGTCCACGATCTAAGGAAAGTTATAAAAAAATTACAGTTTTTTAAATTAGAAATTGACCTCATTTTTAAGGGACTAAAACATACTTCTCATGTGAAATTTGCTCAGAGCAAATTATATGGCACTTCTCATTCATCATTTAAAAAATGCTGAAAAACACAATTAGAATTACTTTTGTAGAAAAATATGGTCCTGGTTTGGTTGCACTGTGGCTTTGTTTTATGATTTGTACAGTTTTTACAGTATACATTTTCTTTTTCTTTTGTTTTTTTTGGGGGGGGGGTCCGGTCGTGGGGCTTGAACTCTGGGCCTGGGCGCCGTTCCTCAGCTCTTCAGCTCAAGGTAGCGCTCTACCACTTGAGCCACAGTGCCACTTCCGGCTTTTTTGTTTTTGCTTATGTGGTGCTGAGGAATCGAACCCAGGGCCTCAGGCATGCAAGGCAAGCGCTCTGCCACTGAGCCACCTTCCCAGCCTATAGTATATATTTTCTAGGAGTCCTGCAGAGAGTTTTAATTTACCTTGCACTATCTAAAACAAATTAAATATTCACTTAAACATTCTTTACCATATGACTTTTGGTCCTGAAGCAAAACTTGATATACATGCTACTTGGGAGGCTGAGATTGGGAGAATCGTGATTACAGACAGCCTGGCTGGACAGAAAAGTTTGAGAGATTTGGAAGTGGTAGAATGCACCTGTTACCCTAGCTATGATGGGAAGCCAAATATAAGTGGATTGTGCCCACAAAAAGAGACACTCTAGCTCAAAAATAATTAGCAAAAAACAAGGCTGGAAGAGTGCTTTTACCTAGCAAGAGCAAGGCAGAAAAATAATCCTTGATGTTCTCAAATTAAATAGGAGATTTTGACTTTTCTGTTTTATACGTTGATTAGTTACACACACATAAAGTTTAGGCCATTTGCACTGACTATGTCATAGTTATAGCATAAACTCTGTCACACTTCAGGTCAAAAGGAACCATAGTCTTTGTAATATGACTTATTCAACAAACTCTCTATCATTCCCAGGAAATAATGAAAGGAGGCCCAAAGAAGTATCACCAACAAATTAGTGATAGTAGTAAGGTACAAATTGAGATAGTAGTAAGGTACATCAGAGCCATTAATTTCTAAACTAGAACTGACTTAAAGCACTTCTCTTTGATGCTTTAAGACTTTTTGAGCCTGATTCTTATACTTTTGACTATATACAGCATATATTTGGTATTTTGTTCAGAACTGCTTAGTTTTCTATTGAGGACAGCTTCTCACAAGTTAAACATTGCAGAATTATAAGTGCCCTTTCATAAGTTTGTATACATTACTGTGACATGAATTTGAACAGCCTTTTTACTTGTAAGATAGTTATTTTGACTTCCAAAAGGAAGAAGCATGCATAAAAATAGAAGCTTGAAAACACATGGGTTTTCACTTATTGTACAAAATCCACTGTCTTCCACCCATAGGAATTCAAGAATGTGTCATAAGGGTTCCTGAGCCCCAAATACGCCAGGCAGTGTTTCAATGAGCCTTGAGATGACAGATCTGGATCCCAAAAGCCTGGGAGTAGCCTTTATTTTTCATAGTTCTATGAGGTCTCAACGGGTTGATGTTTCTAATTCTTTTTACTTTAGAAAATAAAGATGTTAACAGAGAGATTCTTCCACGACTGTGAAATAGAATGTGATATACCAGAATTCCTCATGAAGACAGGGAAAAAGATTTACCTGGGCAATGGTGATGTTCCTCAATCTCCATCGAACATAATAGCGAATAGGAATCACAAGTGTGTAGATGACATGCAGGAAGGCAAATCCGAGAGCTACCAAGCCAAGCTGCTTTCTGCAAAGCATCCAGTGGTCAAGCCAGGCTGGGAACCGGCGGTATTTTGTCCCTCTGTAGAGTTGCAATATGGCAGCAATAACACCAGGGAAGTAAACCAAAGCCAGCAAGATAAGGGCAGTTATTGGAAAGACTCGATTTGGAATGGAAATAGCCAGGCGAAATGTACTATCTTGCTTTTCATTGATGTAAGGATAGATTACATCTCTTAGAACACAGTAGGAAAAGAAGAAGAGACCTAGTGCAGCAGACAAATAGAAGGGCAACCTCCACATTGGAAAGAGTTGCAGGGGGTAGTTTTCAATTTCATTGGCTGCTAGGAGAGATCCTTGATCCAATGGAGTCAGTCCAAGAGTGCGAACAATATCCACCACTCTTTGTTTGGCTTTGCCATCATTTCCACAGACAAAAACCTGGGTTAAAAAGAATTAATTCTATATTTACTTCTCCTTATGTAGTAATTGTATTGAAAATCTATGCGTAAGCACTGTAGGAAAATGGCATGTAATAGTGAGCTGTTTTTCCAAACAGATGTGGAATTAACATATCTAGCCAGATGATGTTTTAAACTTGCACTCAAGTGTTGTGTAGCTAAGTACCAGGGTTTTCAGTTGAAGGAGATTTTCAGCATCTCACATGGCTGTAAGATTTGGTTCTTTATACTCTGAGCAGTTTCATCTTTCTTTCATATTTGTGGGAACAAACATCACTTACAGTTTCTTCTAATCAAGGTAATGGAAGTGGTAAGACATCCAGTAAGCTGTCTTATTTCTACTACTGGCAAGAGGCCTTCAGATTCTGATACCTTGTGTTCTGTCAAACTAAAAACTGATGATGGAGATAGTTGGTAAATGAATTGAGTATTATGCTTGGTCAAATTCAAGGCAATTATTCTTGGCAAATATTAGGAACATGAAATATTTATTGGGCAATTTATTTTAGAACTGTGCCTTGGGATCTTTGAGGTAAATGCAGCTACGAGATAGTTCACGGAGTCATGTGGGTTGTTGGTCCATAGGCATAATCCTAGCTCAGGGGAGGCCCAGGCAAGAAGACTGCAAATTCAAGACCAGCCGAGGCTACATGGTGAAATCGTGTGTAAGAAAGAAGCACAGCACAGCAAAACAAAATGAAAAAAAAAACAACAGAAAAAAATTTCCTTTCTAAAGATTGAGTACAAATTCACTTAATCTTACCTGCCGACTCGCATCCATCGCTCCTGACTGGAGAGCCCAGGCTGAGATAGTGTTAAATGCTTTTACTACATGGGCTCCTGGCACCAACTGTGCAAGGTACTCTGCATTAGATTCTGGATACTGATTAATCTTGAGGTTGTTGCTGACATCTACCAAAACCTTCTCTTTGAGGACTTCAGTTAGTTCTGTGAGAAAACCATAATGTTCTCTATGGATTGTTAGAATTACCACATCAGACTTTTGAGCTGCTTCAGAATAGCTCAATACCTCCGCACCACTAGGCAGCAGGCTGGACATCTGAGGGTTTCGACTTCCAAAAACAACAGAATAACCACACTGAAGCATTTTGTATCCCAGTGATCTTCCAAAATCCCCTGTTCCAAAAATACAGATAGTCTCTTGCTTTTCAGAAGAAGTCATAGTGAGAGGAAAGGTGTTTGTATATGTTTTCGCCATTACTGAAAAAGAAACACACCGATTAAAAACATAAGCTAATAATTCTATGGGCATGAAAAAAATTGAGAAAAATCTAGGAACAGATAATTATAGAGTGTAATTAACTAGTGTAATTAGCTGATGTTTTAACCTTGTAATTACCTTGAGTATATTTCCTCCAAAACTAGGCAGGAATAAAAATGGTCATGTATGTTTATATGTATATTGTACTGAGTAATATCACTGGTCAAAAACTTTTGTGGTACAAAAAGATGCAATAAAAAACCAAGACATTAGTGGATATTTAAAACTGTGGACCTAATTGCAATAACATTACATTAATTGAACATTTGGTTTCAAAAGTTCTCAGAACAGAATCAGATGAAGAATGTGTTAATAGAGAAATTATGTGCCATTCACTTACTTTTAGTGATTAAAAAATACCAAATAACACATTAGTAAATAGAACTTATTGTCTTTCTAAGAGAAAGTCCACATCAATCAAATAGGGATTGTTCTACAAAAACCTTAGTTCTTCAGATTCAATATTAGAAAAATCTATTAATGTAACAACATATAGACAATATAGTCATATTTATGTATGCATAGAAGCCATATGTTAAAATTTGACAGTTATTCTTCATTCAAAGTAAAAGAAAGACATTTCTTAACCATCAGAAAGTATCTTAACCTATTTTCACAGTTAAAATAGAATTCTTAGAAACATTTCCAATAAAATCAGAAGCAGGTCAAATATGTCAAATATGGCCACTTTGGGCATTTTTTTTCTAGAAGTGGTAGCTAACAAGTTTTAGAGAAAAAAATTGACATATATAACCTTAAAGAAGATTTCATATGAGCAAATTGTAGACTAAGCGACCTAAAAAAAAAAGCAGCAGTAAAAAAAGATAGAACATAGAGAAAATTCAACATCTTTCCTAGGAACCCAATTGAAAATAGTATTTGTAATATATTCTAAAATCAAACCACTTAGGGGACTTGCTAGAAGAAAGGAGTCTATAGCTATAGCAAAATGGAAAAAGATAGCAACATGTGACAAGATAGCAAGAAAGATAGGAAGAAAATGTTAGAACGATCTTACTCAGAGAATATTCATATAGATTGAAATGCGTTGCATGTTCTTGGATGGGGCAGCTAAGCTTCACAATAATGTCAGTTTCCTCTTATTATCTATCAGTTCTAAAAAGCAGAATAAGTCATGGAACCAGTCATAATAAATATTACAAGATTGTAAAGCTGAAACAATGGGGTACTGTCAATAGAATAGAAAACGTTCAATAAAATGGAGTACAAAATATAAAAACATATCTAAACGTATGTGATAAAGATGGCATCCCAAGTTAATTGAAAAAAGATTGATAATTCAGTATCTAGCACAGACAATTCAATGACCAATTGGAAGAAAATTTTAATCTCCTCAAACTTCACTACAAGGTAAATTTAAAATACATTTAACTTTAAAAAATAGGATTATAATTGAAATAGAACCAACCGTGAAAAATTATTCCAACATCATTAAGCATTAGAGAGTAGATGAACAAATATGATCAAACATGATCTCATAAAATAAGTAATTTCTGAAAGTAAAAAGAATTGTAATCAAAAACAGAAGATAACCAACAATTTTTCAATAGATATAAATAAGAAAAAACCCATAAGTATCTGTTAGAAAACTGAGAAAAGGATATCAACTGATGGTTTATTTTGAGGAAGTATCAAAAACTTTCAAGTTATTATATAAGTATTAGATAAGATTCAGAATCTTATATGAAATAGAACAAATGAAAATTAGAACTAAATTTAGATACTCCTAAAAATGATTGCCTTCTTGGAACTTTATAAAATTTAAATACGAAAAGCAAGTTGTTTTTATGAGACAATACAAATAATATGGTTACTATCTATATTTTTGAAGGAAATCATTTTTCTTTCAGCATTGTCTTTTTGTCTTTTTAAAGATTTTCCAAGTGTTCTTTTTGTTTTTAATTAGCACCTATAAACTAATGTAAGAGGTTTCCATACACACATATAATACACTATTGTTAATATTTTTTTGTTTTGTTTGTCATGGGACTTGAACTATGGGCCTAGGTGCTGTTCCTGAGCTCTTCAGCTCAAGTCAAGCACTCTACCACTTGAGCCACAGTGCCACTTCTGGCTTGCTAGTGGTCAATTGGAGATAAGAGTCTAACGGACTTTCCTAACTGGGCTGGCTTTGAACTGTGATCCTCAAATCTCCGCCTCCTGAGAAGCTAGGATTATAGCTGTGAGCCACCAGCGCCTGGTTACTATTGCTAATTTTTATTTCAAGTTCTCTACATATAGTTGAAGCTTTTAGTTAAGGTGTGTGTGTGTGTGTGTGTGTGTGTGTGTGTGTGTGTGTGTGTGTGTGTGTGTGTGTGTGTAGGGAGTCTCTGGTTTTTAATAATTTATCTTCAGTGCTAGAAGAGAAATCCACCACTTTCTTATAAGTACTTGTTGAGCAATGTTACAAAGATGAAAAGTAGGAGTTAGAAGTATCAGTGTAGACTGTGCTCCAGGCATAGAGGAGATAAAGAGAAAGTGGAATGATTAAAGAATAACCCAGAGGAAAGAGAGAAGGAAAGAAGTAGGGCTGGATGTTGGAAAGACATTTGTTCTTTCATTCAAATGGGTGAAAAGTAAAAGTCACTGAACTTGATAGAGAATTTTCAAGCCAAATATAATCACTATTTAATCTTGACATTGTAGATTCCATGCAGATCATAGAGCATGTATTTACTTGGCTTTTTTTAAAACCAGATTTTCAGAAATCTGTCCCTTTGATTTTAATTTATGAAAGAAACTTATGACAAGCAGGCCATTCAGGATTTGTAGGTGAGTAGAAGTAACACCCACATAAGAAAACATCCGCAGATGATCATGGCTCTTGAGATGGAACCAGCTGTTCCCACGAGAGGTTCTTAGCGTCCATTAATAATGCAAACTAGTTTAGTACTTTAAATTACTTGGACTGGCTAGTTGCTAATCAGTTTACAACTGCTTATATATGACAATAACAACAAAACCCCCTCAAACTGCTGGCTGATGCCTTTATTATTTTATTTTGTAGAACTGGCTAATGTGTCACAAGACAGAGCCTACTCATCTCATGTTGTCCTCATTATTTTATCCTGATATAATTACTTTTTTCTCCTCTCCCTTACACGAAATGAACATTTTGAAGCAAAATGTAGACTTGTTGAAGTTTCCAATGTCCTACAATGAGATAAATTATTTAATTATTGAAACATTATCACTGGAGTCATGTTGCAAATAGAGTGGTCCTAGACTATTTTCACTATTTAGCTACTTCACTAATTCCATTCTCACTTTTCTTTTCTTCTTCTTTTTATCAAATGAAGACATCCACTTCAAGGCACTATTTTGGCTCTCTCTCTTACTAGTAATGCTTCCTTGGCAAGTTACTCAAGACACTTTGGGACCTGATTTCATCACGGTGAGACATGAGGTTTTTACCTCTCATTTTCTTTATGGATTGGGGGGCAGGAAATGCTTCTCTTCCTTCTCCATTTCTCTCTAATCCTTGCTATTTTTTTAAAAAAAAGATAGTATGTTTTTGAGAGATGTTGAGGAATAGATGAATGTATGTATCTCAAAACATTTCTTGAGATATGATAAATGTTCAATAAATGGACTGTCTTTAATACATTATTTAATCCAATAACTACTCAAGTAGTTGTACAGTATTTCCTAAGTAATTGTATTGTAGTACCTAAGTCATATAACCCATTATTATTGGATTAAAGTAACTTTAATGTAAAGCCTTCCAATTAAGGTCTAATTATACTTACATAACTGCAATTATTGTCCATATGCAAAATGATCACTAGAGTTTAGTGATTTCTAGGAAGCTCTTACTTTGACTAATTCTTATAAATCAAAACCTATATGGAAACAGCTTTACAGCATATGAATTTATAAACACAGATCGTGTGAGTTTCTCTTATTTAGAATTTTTTCATATTTTATTTTATTATTTCTTTTTAAAAATGTTACTTGGCAGTCCAATATAATATTCTTAGTATGTTACCTCAACTATTAGTATTTTTTTAACTTTCAAAACTTCAGAGACATCAAGGAGCAAAGTCATGATGCAAAAAGAGTAAAAAGATATAAAAAAATCACTAGTTGACTTAATTTCTTAATAGAAATTTTTGTATTTTTTTTTTTTTTTTTGATTTTTACAAAATGTTTATTCTCTGAAATCCAAAGCATTCATAGGGTGTTAACACTGTTAATCATTTCTACCAACCGCAATGTTATCTAAGTAAACCAGAATGAGCACTTTTTATCAGATGTAACCAATGATTATTATTTGTTTTAAAAGTTCTCTAAACTTTTAGTATAAGTAGTTGTTTGTTTAATCTAGTAGATAACTGTTAAGAAGTGTGTAGAAATGAATAGCTTCAAACTGAGTGATTATACCATGTTATCAACTCACCAAATGAAAAGCAATTGCTAAGCTGAATAAGTTACAAAGAAATCATAACAATTCTGGCTTGTACAGATATGTGCAGTGTTTTCAAAGCTCTTAATGGGTACTTACTAATATAAATCTCAAAAACTTAACTTAGAAGATGAGTTTCACAGTAATGTAATTTTAACCTCCATTTACATTCATTTTAATATATTACTAAGATGTTTACTCTATGTCACAATGGTGCTTTCCAGTGTTCACAATTTACAGTTGCAATTTGTACATATGTAACTCACTAACATAACGGACAGTTTGTACTATTATAAACTATCCACAGAACAAAAAAATAAAACCCCACCTACATAGAACTCTGAACATGGTATGTCTTAAAATAGATTAATGCAACATGGTTTTTAATATTTTAGCCTTTTTCTAAATGCCAGCATATAAACTTTCCTATTTAGTATATGGCAGCTACAACTTTATTCACCGAGGAATTATGCATTAATTTTTCTTCAACCATCTTTCTCACCTTATCTCAAA